GTAGAACAATGATCTCAACGGCAAGAATGACACCAGACTCTGAGCGGATATAAGCCCCAGCCCTCCTCATTTACTAAACTTATATAAAACTCACCGAAACTCCACTTCTCACAGGTTAGGTATTCAGTTTTTGCTTCTAAAAGCACTCACAATGCCACTCCTTAATTATGAATACTGCAGAAGTCGGTGGCTAAGCAAATAGGGATTATGGTGATGACTAATCTCAAAACTGCCTAAAAAAAAAAAAAACACATAACTAATACTGAGATTACTAGATCATGGTAAATTTAGGTGAATGGTGAATAAATCTACAAAAGTCAGTGGCTATAATGCAATGGAAAAGGAGGAAAAAAACCCTAACATGGCTTTAGCTAAAGATAAGAATAGGAAGTAAACACACTTCAGTTGTTCCTGGTGGTATGAAGCAAGTTGAGCCAGGCAAACCTTGGGGCTTCTTCCCATACATGATACCTGGCTTCAGGCTATGTCACGATTGTCACAGATGAATCCTGACCTGTTAGGTGAGCGGGAACTAGAAAGGAAAGTATGTCTGGCACTTTCCCAGAGCTCACAGAAATAGAGTGCAGGATACAGCATGCAAAATCAAGGTGGGGTTTCTTCTCAGTCTTAATGCTCTTGACGCTTTGAGAAAATGTCAAACAGAATGGGACAGAAAAATATAATGGGGGGAGACTTTAAAGGTCTCACATTATCTAGAGATCAACAACTTTGGTGGGGGGGGGGTGCTTCTTGAGATGTGTATCCAAAATAGTAAGAGACTTACACACACCCTGTTCAAGAGCAGACAGATCTGCTGTGTGATAGGCACAACCATTAAAATAAATAAATAAATAAATAAATAAATAAATAAAATATAAAATAAAATGGAGAGCTGAATTCCAAGATTTTGAACTTCTCCTTAAGCAAACATTAAATGACTATGCGCTATGTCATGGTTAGTTGCTTAACTTTCTGAGACAATTCTGCATTAATCCAGCATGGCTTTCATGGGCTCTGAGTCCTTGCTTGTGCAATGGTCAGATAGCTCAGATCAGCAAATGACAACTTCTCAGTGGCACAGAATCTCAGCACAGCAAAAATCAAGCAAAAAGTATCTTGGAAAATTAGCATCAGTCAGGTATCTTTTTTTCTTTTTTCTTTTTTCTTTCTTTTTATCTTTTGAAAGGAATCTGTTACATTTAGTTTAGGGAAGCATGTGACCTTCCTTTTGCAAAAGCAAACATCAAAAGACAGTAAAAATTCTCTTTAATGAACTGAAAAACAATTACCGATAAGCCAGAAGATCAGCCAAAAAAATCAGAAAAAGTTAAAATGAGATCATTGTTAGTTAAAGAAAATTTGAGACCCTTATTGCCAGCAGGCACACACTAGGGAAAACGCAGAAGGGTAGGAATGCAGAAGAAACCCCCCCGCACTCCCCCACTCCCCTCCCCTCCCCCCCTCCCCCCCCCTCAGAAGGGTGACATGTAACAGCTTGGTTCTTAATGTCGGACCAGTCATGGTTCTAACTGGGGTAGCAAAATAAATGCTGTAAGTCATGTTGTAGAGATGCTAAACTGTTCTTACTACAGTATTATTCTAAATACAGAAACCTTAATAGCCCACAGGCAAATTCCTGGAACAAGAAAGAATTAACAAGATTAACGGATGCAAAAGTAGTGTACAAAAAGAATTTAAAAAATTATTTTGTGTTTATGTTTGGATAGATTATTATTTCATATTTTTGTATGTCAGGTTTTTTTTCTTTTTACTATTGAACATGGTTTTTACAACAAATTCTTAAAAGTTAGGTTAAACAAATTATTTCTAATTTTTATATTGTGACTCTCAACAATTAACATTGAAAATGAATTTCTATTTTCTCCTACCTATTTAGGCAATTCACCCAGACCATTGATTGCATCATTTTTCTTCCCTTACAATATATGCTATATCTAAGTTTTTCCATTATGAATCATTTTGCTCAAGTTCTAATAAACAAAGTACAAACCAACTGAATTATTTAATCAGGACAATTATTTACCCAGGACAATTAAAGGTTAAAGGTTAGTCATTCCGACTAACACATTAATAATTTGTGACAAGTGTGACATATTCAAAAACTTTCTTAGGGCTTTAGGAACTTGGTCTACATATATCATAACTAAGTTAATTAGTTATTGGATATACACCTAGTACACTTTGATTTTTGCATAGATGTTAGAAACATCTGTGAATTCTTTTATAATTTTTTTAAAGATTTATCTATTCATACAGAACTGGGGTATAGGCCAGAGATGCGGAGGGTGAGGGGATTCACCAGGGACAGAGTGGGGCGCAGAACAGGCAGATAGACAAAGTACATTGCTCAGGGGAGCAGCGGGCTGGTCAGGAGAGGTCTGGGGCTCCATGTGGATCTCCTCTGGGGGAGGTGGGGATCGAACTCATGTGGAAGTGGCTTAAGATTCTTAGTGCAGTGCTTTAACCCGCTGCACCACCAGGGAGGGCCCTCTTTTATAATTTTTAATGGCTAAACATTTTTTAAGTTTTATATAACTTATTTATATATATTTTACATCAGTGCTCATTTTTGTACAGTATTTGCTTTCTCCTCTCAGGTGTAGTCCCTGTGGAATTCCCAACACCAACTCACCTGTGCACTATCACCACAGACCCTTATGCTCTGGCACTCCCCTGTTTTGACCCCTTACCCTTCCCTTCCCCACAGAATGCCTTTTATTTTTTTTAAATTTACTATATTTACTATAATCTTATTTTCCCCTATCCCTTCGTTGGTTCCCTTATATTCCTCCTATAAGTGAAATCATCCACTATTTTTTCTTTTTCCTTTTGACTTATTTCACTGAGGATAGTCCCTTCTTGATCCACCGTGTGGCTGTGGGTGGCATGAGTTTCTTTTTTTAATTGCTGAATAGTATTCCATTGTGTATATATACCACATCTTGATCCAATTGTCTAGCTTTGGGGCATTTGGGTTGTTTTCATACCTTACCTATTACAAATAGTGCTGTAATAAACAGAGGGGAGCATGAGTCCTTTTGAATTGTTTTTGTGTTCTCTGCGTACATTCCTAGGAGTGGAATTTCTGGATCATATGGAAGCTCCATTTTTAGTAGCTTGAGAAACCTCCACACAGCTTTCCACAGCAGTTGCACAAATTTGCATTCCCACCAGTAGTATAGGAGTTTTTTTTCTTCCACATCCTTGCCAACATTTGTTGTTGCTAGCTTTTTTTTTTTTTTAATATATGACATTCACATGATGTAAAGTGGTATCTCATATGACTTTGATGTTCATGTCCCTGATTATAAGGGATCTTGAACAACTTTTTATATACCAGTCATCCATTTGCCTTTCCTCTTTGGAGAAGTGTCTTTTTATCTCTTTGGCCCATTTTTTTAATGGATTGTTTGTTTTTGTTTGTTTTTGTAAGTGCATTGTAGATTTTTATGATCAGTCCCTTATCAGTTCTATGGAGTACAAAAATTTTCTCCAAATTTTGCTTTGGTAAATGTCTCTTTTGCTGTACAAAGGCTTTTAACTTTGATGTAATCTAGGCTGTTTATCTCTTCCCTCACTTTCTTTGCTTTGGGGGATGAATTTTTAAAGATGTTACTAAAAAACATCTGTGAATTATTTTAAATTATATTTCACTAGTTTCCTCCTAAAGATTCTGATTTGGTAATTCTGTGGTATCACTCACTGAAATTTAAATCTGCAAGAATTAAGAATTCAAATCTAGAGTCCTCCCTGGTGGTGCCCCATATGGCACAGCAGACCTTTCCTGTCTTGCCCACCGCTCCCCTCAGCAGTGTACTTCAGTCAATCACCTGTTTTGTTCCCCTACTCTGTCTCTGGTGAGTCCTCTCACTCCCACACCTCTGGCCTGTACCCCAGTTTTTGTACACATAAATATTTACATTTTTTAAAGAATTTAATTCTGGTAGTCTAAATAAATTAATTTACTGCTTAATCTACACTGTTCTTCTTTTCCGTATCTTCTGTATGTTAGCCTATAGCTGAGAATTAAGACATGTCATTTAATTGACTTCCATGATTGCAGAAAATTATTTAATTTTAAAACAGAGATTTGAAAGTGTTTTCAATAATATTAATGTAAATAGAATATGATTGCTTAAAAAATAATTACAATCTGACAAGAAACTGAAGAAATACAAACTTAATATAAAGGAAAAATTATCATAAATTCTAAAATTTTTCTGCATGAATTTTAAAAAATCTCACCTATATAAAATTTGTTTATTATGAAATATTCTGAACCAAAGCTGACAAATACTAAAAATCTAAATGCCTAAATTTATCATAACGTTTTAATATATGAATTATTCTAAATTTCCAAAGTGAACAAATTGGGTTACCTTTTCTAACTGAAATTGTATACTTTTGACTTGTAGAACTAAATGCAGATTTTATAACTCCTATTTTAAGCATTTTCAGTTCTTTAAAAACAGTTTTGACAGTTTTGGAAATCCTCAGCGATGACAGGAAAATGAAGGCATCTTTTGAATTATTCATTGTTGAAATTATCGTGGTAGCTGTGTATCATGTAATAGTACAGGGTACAGACTAGTTTTTGAAGAAGAGGCAACTACCGCAGTTTGGGGGAAAAGCCATACAGGTAGTGGCAGGTTAATCTGTGGTGACAATAACTTAAAGCTTGCTTACCAAAGTGCGGCAGTTCTTTGATGACCTGTGTCAGTTCTATAGGTTAAAGTGATAGCAGCAGCATTAGTCACTGCGGGTTCAGACAAAGGGGTGAAGACTGTACACTATGAGAGCACAGCAAAGCTACTGCATGGAAGTCTCATTGTCACGGCTGAGGTGGAAGTGGCCGTGGCTGTAGATTCAGTTGAAGTGAATGTAATTGTGTGTTCAGTAAAGATGGTGGAAGGGGGGGGGGTGTTGGCCACCAGTTATAGTGAGCTGTGAGAGCCTTTGCACTAGGGGACTTGCAGCAGTTATGGGGCATGTGCTGAACTGAGGGCAGCTGTGGTCCCACTTGGAGTTGTCCTGGCTGTTTTAAGTGTGGATTCAGTGGAAGTGAGGCTTGTGGCAACTGTGGTTGAGGATACTGCGTATATCGCAGTGGTTGCAGATTCTGGTGCAGTGGTTGCAGGTTCCGTTGAAGTGCTGGTCACTGTTGGTTGAGAAGCAGTAGAGGATGTTCCAGGAAGAATAATGACAGGCCCCCCACCATTTGGGGGTAGCTGGATGACAACAGAGGAATTGCCATTTCCTCTGTTATTCACCAGGTATATTACAAGAACTCCAATTGCTGTTGTTACCACACAGGCTAAGAGGCAAGACAGAAAGACTTTCCACAGCGACCAGTTATTGCAGCAACTTCCTTTCACCTAAGGAGTGTAAATGCAAATATCAATAATGAAAAATAAAGATGCCTTTTAGGTATCATCTCTGGATTATTTATAACTTATTGCATAACTACTATTTGCTCACTAGCTTCATGTCACTAAAGAAATTTAGGTTTAAAATTCAAGTTTTTTTTTTTATTTGAAATAACATTATGTAAGTTTTTCTCCAGGTTGAAGTAATTGCATACTTTTGCTATACTATAAAAAATAAAAATCTGTTGAATTTTTTTTCTCTTTTCAATGATGAGTAGGGAAGGGCTCTTTGTCTTTTCACATATGCAAACCGGCACTTTTATGGTAAATTCTCTGTCATTACACCCTATCCTCCTCTGGACATTGTCTCCACATTGCTTCACCCCTCCCAAAGTACTTCTGGGAGAATCCTTGCTCTAACTTCACATCTTTCCTTTCAACTTGCTTGTTCAATGACTCCCTTAACAACCTTCCCTTTGGCAATGGAGGATAGTAATTCTAGAGTTAGGGAAACCAGATCAAACTGCCATGCACAATAGTAATTTATAGTCAAGGTCAAGTTTCTATTCTAGGACTTAAGATATAGACATACAGCACTGCGTTTTATTAACTCAGTCAATAGATAATATCAGGAACCAAGAAGCACTTAGTTCAGCCCCCAAAGCTGGTGGAGAAAATCCTAAGAATAGTGTCAGGTTTCTATGTTAAGGTCATATCCACCAGATGTCATAAGAAAGAAAACTATCTAGAAAGTATATATACAGCTTCTAAGGATAGTCCAAGAGTACAAGGTGATCACAAATAGTGTAGAATGCCTGAAACTTTAAATATGACATAGTCTCCCATCAAAGTCTATTTAGTGAAGTAAATTCTGCATTGCCAACCTAATTACTCCTCGGCACCTCTCCAATCTTGTCTTTGTGCCCTACATATTTTCTTTTTAGTTTCACATATGTTCCCTATGTGACTCTCTAAGCCCACAACTAAACATTAGCTCTTTGAAAACATAGACTATCAAATATTCTCTTCTTGTGAATTGCCTCAAAGTGACTTATCATGAGAATATAGCAAAATGTTCAACATGAATGCAATTAAATCAAATGAATAAATATATTTCCTTAAAAGACTAGACCAGAGCCCTCCCTGGTGGCACAACGGGTTAAAGCACAGCACTAAGAAGCTAAAGCCATTTCCGAATGAGTTTGATTCCCGCCTGCCCCAGAGGTGACCACATGGCGTGGCAGACCTCTCCTGACCCGCCCCCTGCTCCCCTCAGCAGTATACTTCATCGATCTGCCTGTTCTGCTCCCCGCTCTGTCTCTGGTGAAGCCTCTCACCGCCTCTGAGCCTCTGGCCTGTACCCCAGTTCTGTATGCACAAATAAATAAATCTGGAACAGCGTGTTAAAGCACAGCACTGAGAAGCTAAAGCCACTTCCTCATGAGTTCCATCCTCGTCCCAGATGTGACCCACATGGTGCGGCGACCTCTCCTGACCCGCCTGCTGCTCCCCTCAGCAGTGTACTACATGGATCTGCCTGTTCTGCTCCCCACTCTGCCTCTGGTGAATCCTCTCACCACCCCTGCACCTCTGGCCTGTACCCCAGTTCTGTATGCATAAATAAATAAATCTTTAAAAAAAAAAAAAAAGACTAGACCAAATGCATCCCTCTAAATGCACATCCTGATCTGGGTAAAAGCTGCTGTACCAAACATTACCTCTGTGTCACATAATTCTCTGTGTGGATATTCTGAGTATGAAGGAACTGCTGGGCCCAGGCAGACCCCAGTTGAGTCACTGGTTATGTCATCTGAATGCGGACACCAGCATGCGGAACTGTGAACAGCTTGGTCATTTGAACATGTGCTTGGCTGTAGAGATGAAGCCTAGGTTAATAGGATGCCATGGTACTGAATGTCTAAAATGAAAGTCTTCTGTCAGAAATAAATAAGTACTACTTATTTAGGAATAAAGAAAGATAAAACTTTTATGAGAAATAAATATTTTCTGATTATCCTTTGAAGACAAAATTTAGATGATTACATACTGTATTGTATCCAAAAGTATTTTACATCTCCAAAACCATATACAGATGCCCAGGGCTCTTTATCACAGAGGATGCTAACGCTGACTTTCTAACTGTGAATCTATCTCTGTTACTCCTTGCTTATTTATAAGGGGGAATATGAAACTACCCATTTGTAGACATGCTATGAGGAAAAGTAAGTAAACAATTGCAAAGCGGTTAGTGTCTGGTATACTCTGTGCACCCAGTAAGTTTAGTGGTATAGTGGTAGTAGTTTATAGTAATAGTAGTCATAGAAGTAGCTACCAGTCATCTTTCATCATGTTGATGTAATATCCCATAATCAAGTAACTAAAAGAATTGCTGGTCCATCAACCAACGAGTTCCATAAACCTCCACACTAGAATAGTACGTATTCATTGGACCATTAGGAACTATTATTAAGAATACAAAAACAAATGATTATTAAATATAGGTAAGTTGTAGCAAGCAGTAAAAAGTAAAGAATTTGCTAAGTTAGATTTTTCTATAAGTATCCTACCAAAAATATATGTAAAAGATTTATACCTTATTAAATAAGATTAAACCGTCCCACACATTATCCCCTAAGCATATTTGAAGGTGGACTTTCCTATGTGCTGATTCTGTTACTTTTATTATTATGCATTTTGCCAGTATCTGATGCACTTAGGAGTTTTAATACACTTTGTAAAGAAAGTAAATCTCACTCACTGTGCCAGAATTTTCTGCTCCTATTGGCCACCCTTTTCAAAGGAAAAAGATAATGGGTGTCATCTCTACTAAGGGTGGAGAACCTATGATCTAGACCCAGCTTGGGAGTGATACTGCAGTGCAGATGCTAATATTTACTCTGTTAAGTTGTTCTGAATCTTCATATAGGTAGATGTTCTACGAGAAATTGCAATAGTTGAAAAGCTGTGAGTAATGGTCAAACAGGTAATCTGCCTTAGCAACTGAAGTGCTTTAGCTGTTGTCACCAAAGTTCTGTAGGTTTTCCTCCTAATTTTATGATTAACATGAGAAAAACAAAACATAAAAAAAAATCTTCTTTTTTAATCTATAATCTTGAATAATTCTTAAATTCCAATACCAAATTTGGTGTTAAGAGAAAACTGGGTTATAATTACGCCTTAAATGTCCATAATACAGTGAAATGTTCACTCAGCCATTCAGACGTAGACTGTAAAAATAACTTAAGGGGTTCTTTGTAGACAACTTTAAGTTTGTGGATATCTAAAGAAACTGTGAAGATGATAAATACATGGCTAAAGGGATTTATCACTCCCCATGTGAATATCCTTGTATCCTCAAGAGTCTATAACAAAATATTGAACTGAAGACAAAAAACAGATCTTCAAGAGAATCATTGTTTTGATGACTCAAAAAGACAGATGCTGAGCTTTCGGGGAACCAGGAATCTTCCATGGAATATTTTTACTTGACTAACACTTGAGGAGCAGCAGGGTTTTCTTCTCTGACTTAACTTGTAGTGATCGGTTAATACACAGCTCCAAGTTGCAAAGGCAAAATATTTCTTCATATGTCTTTCATTTATCTTTCAGGCATTAAATCTTAACTTACCATACTGATTTACGGCACACTTCCATCCTTTGCTCTACCATGAAAGGTTACTTGTTCAAATACAATCAGATACATAAAAAGCACTATAACTATGTTTTGGTATACATTAAGGCTTGATTATTGATCAACAGACAAAATGATTATATTTTATATAAAGCATGAATTTTTAGAAAAATCCTTTCTTATATTTAAAGACAATATCAAGGATTAATACTTGATTACCCAGCATATTTAGAAATCTGATTTACATATTTAAAAATTACATATAAAATCTGAGCATCAAATTGTCAAAAACTATAACTTCAAAACTGAAACCAAGACATTGCTGAAGTTCTAATTTTATTTGATTATAGATATAGAAAGTTAAATGGATTTTCTTGTATATCATTTTGTTATAGAAACATTTATAGTACTTCAGATTATTAAATATGTAAAATATTTGAAACTTAGGAAATAAAAAGTGAAAGGTTGAGAGTAAATAAAATACATAACTTCTTTTTAAAGAATGCAAAATTATTACATTGATTGCATCTTAGTATAGAGATTAGATTTCCTTTTAATGCATAAAATAAGAATGCAATATAGTGAAAATATTAAACTGGAGAAACAATACTCACTGGCTGGCTTTCAGAGTGTTCGACATTCACCACATACTTCCCATGTTTTCTGTCCATTCTTGAGCTTTCAACGGTACAAGCTGAACCTGAAGAATCTTTTTCATTTCCTGCATTGCCCTTTATATCTGCAACCCTGAGAAAGAACTGAAATGACTAGTAGAAAATCAACTCTGATGCATCAGTGCCAGTGTGGATTAAACTAAATGATAAATAATTATTCACTAAAATGGGATCCACCTTAGAGAAGGAAATGAGGTATTATTTACAGAAAACAAACACTGCTTCTGAGATTTACTGTGAATCCCCCTCCCCAACCCTCCTAAGAGAAAGGGACTGAAAAGCATATATAATTCTTCCTTTGCTTCCCTCGGACCCCACCCTGCAGACTCCTGTCTTTTGTTTTTAGGAACTAGGCCACCAAAACCATCCCATGTAGAAGTTACCATTGCTTTCTCTCCACTGCAACCTGAGTGCCTTCTCCACCTGTAGGCTGCCTCTCCTGGCCTGCAAGGCCTCAGGTGGCTGTATCTTTTCTGTCTTGAGGTTGGCATCTGGGGGTGGACTCGACCAGTTGTTCAGATAATTCACATGCATCAAAAAAGATTAGCATCAATTTCCCAGGCAATTACACCAAATGAGTGGTGGAATACTAAAACTCTCTAGGTCTCTGAGAGATCTTTTCATCAAAAAATCTAAGTTGTCTAAGGCTGAAAAAAAAAAATGTCTTCTATGGATGTATTTGGTCAGCAGTGAGAAGACTGAGTGCCCATTACTTTTCTAGTGTAAAATGTTCAGTAAGAAACAAAGCAGACCACCTCCTAACCTCTTTAGGATTCTCAGTTATTTTCAGAAGTTGTAGTCTTTGAAATGTCTTATAAACATATTAGACAGCTTCAGGTTAATGAGTTTTACTGAGTTAACTAAAATTACTTAGCCTCCTTAAAACGTAAAGAACATGGAGAAACTGGCAAAGAAGGAAGAGCTCGGGAGAGCTTCCAGGGAGGTTCTAGCAGGGAAGCGCAGCTACTCGGAAACCCTCCACCAAAGACCGGAAGAACCTTCTGTCTCTATTCCACCGAGCGCAGCTTCGGGATCCATGAACTTGGAGTAGTGAGGGAAGAAGAGGACCCCCGCCTAGCCAGCCAGAGCAGCCGAATCAATCCTGGCCATCGTGGGGTAACATGCCGCAGCCAGATCGCCCTCACATCCGAAGGGAGAGTTTGGAAAGGAATTTGTTCGAAAGAAGAATAAAACATGAAGACTTATTCTTATTCCTTTTAAAACAAAGCCACTGGCAACATTGTACGGTTGTGGTCTACAAAGTGGCAAGGGTTGCAGATATTAACAAATATTAGACTCGGTCCAGTAAGTTGATTATTTGAAAATCAGAATAATGTAATTTTCAAAAAAGTGATGTAAATTAGACGCCATTTGTTTAAAATAGTACCAAAGTTCCTCTGCATTTATTTTTAATTTAGTACTGGAAAACACAGCCATGTGTTTTGAAAACATATAAAACACATATGCAGAATAGTTAGGCTTTCAAGTAGGCTTTTATTAGGTAGTTACTACCTAATAATAATTAAGTAAAGGTTATTATAGTTTGTTTTTCATTTTGTTATGACATTAGAAACAATCAAAGAATTTCAAAACCTAAGTAAAATTCTGACATGCAACTGAACTGATTTGAAAGTATGAACTAGCATTGAGAAGAATATAGAAATTGAAAAATAAATTTTGAAACTGCTCCACCAAATTTATTATAAAGTAATTAAAAGTAAAGTTAAAACTAAAAAAATTCTGTAAATGTCTTATATTTGTTACATAACACTAATAAAGTGTTATATATTTTTTGAAAGCTCTGGCAAATGTTTAAAAAGTACTTTTAAAAAAGCATTTCAGTGATAGAACTCTTATAATTTTCCCTACTTAAAATAAAAACTTCATGAAGCAAAATATATTTTGATACATATTGCTGAATTTTCTAGTTACAGATTTAAATTTTCTAACTCCAGATATCCAGACGGCATTGACAGAAACAGACAAAAACCTGCCTAACTCTGTTCTTCTTTCTTGGTTTGAGTTTGACTTTAACTTTCCAATCTGTCTAAAAGTAATATTTTTGTTTAATCAAGAGAATAATTTATTTAAAGGTGTGTTGGCAAATGCATGTCTGTCTGACCATGGTGGCGGGATTTTTCTAAGGAATTTCATTTTATGGAAACCTTTATTATTGAAAGCTGTTTTTCCTAGTCAGAGTTTCCCTTATTCCTTCAGCTGACTTACACTCTGGTCCTGCTATATCGACAGACACCCAAAATGAAAGAATTATGTCTCAAGAATAAGGGATTTTGATACCTGATACACAGTTCAAATATTCAAAAGTCTTTGACAACTGAAAGTGATCTTGTCCATTTGGCACCAATTTATTTGGTAACAAAAGTTAATCCGAATTAATAAGGCTATTTTTTTTCTTTTTCATCAATGTAACATAATTATTTATATGTTAAATTAAAAAATTAATGTCTGCAATTGTCAGCTAACATCACAGTCCAGCTAGGGGCAATATGTAATATATAGTCTATATCATATTGCTTTTATAAAATTTTTGAAAATCTGAATTATGAGACCCATCTGACCTGAGCACTTCATGTGAAGGACTGTGGGCTTTCAGAACATTGTTTACAACTTTTAAAAGGCAATGGATAGGCCCTCCCTAGTGGCTCAATGGGTTAAAGCACAGCATTAAGAAGCTAAAGCACATCAGCATGAGTTCGATTCCAGCCCTGGAGGTGACCACATGGTGCGGCAGACCTTTCCTGACCTGCCCACTGCTCCTCTCAGCAGTGTACTTCATCAGTCAGCCTGTTCTGCTCCCCATTCTGTCTCTGGTGAATCCTATCACCACCACTGCACCTCTGGCCTATACCCCAGTTCTGTATGCATAAATAAATAAATCTTTTTTTAAAAAAAAGGGGATGTATAAAATGTCCTTTCTTCTTATTGTTCTGAAAACTACTTTGTAAACTGCCTCATAACGGCCATTTAAGTGCAGAGAAGACAAAGAAAAAACAGTGCTGGGTAAGGGCACATGGCACTATCTTGGGACAGGTCCTGTGACATAAAATTAGTTTAATATTATCATTAACATTTCAAAGATGTTCATGTGTATTGTAGTGGGTGTACCACACTGTTTATAGCTAACTTAATCCCTACTTGCCAAGAATTATGTACTATTATCCCCACTTTCCTGATGAGACACATGCTGTAAGTGACCCAGTTTAAGATTGGAGTGTATGGACCTCAAGCTCCCTGTTCATTATATGTAGGGTCACTTATTAATCATCTACTGTGGACTACTGTGCTCTAAGAAGGATGGGCAGAAAAGGCAAAAGGCAGTTTGGAGGTTCAATTCATTGGAAAGGTCATACAGTGGTCACACCTCTAGAGACTCTGGTGACATATGGGTTGCATCAGGAAGTACAGTTGTTGACTGAAAGCTAGGTTGGGGTGCTGCAGCCCCTAGAACTAGAACTGCCCCAGGCACAACCACAGCTGGAATTCAAACTCCAAACAACTGCAAGGACTTGGCAACTCCCAGCATGGAGACTCAGCTGGGCTCATCACCCCGGAGGACCTTACGACCTGTACATTTGGTCCAAGCATCAGACACCTGGAAGGCGAGGGTAGGTAAGGTGTTCGCAAGGAAGAGGCAGCAGCTAGTTGTGCAGATCTGAGGACAAGAGGGCCTACATCTAGAGCTGAGCTTCAGTTCTCAGAAAGTGAGGCATGAAGAATAAAGTGGGGTTCCAGGCCCCATTAAGCAGGTGCAGCAAGAAAACTAGTTAATAAAGTGGGAAATCAATAGAAATTGAAGGTCTCAGGTCTACAGAAGGACAGAGAGTAAACTGAGTTTGTTCAGTCTAGAACTGCAACTAAATTATCAGAAATAGGGTGCTATGGAAGATGGGGGTCACCTCTAAACCTGGGAGTAGAGTGAGAACCAAGGGCTCCATGTTGGGATACCACAGTCCCAGGAGGTCAAAGGTGGGGTAAGACTTATTTCATCAGTCTCACTTGGGGTAGAAGGTGCCTGTAAAAGAGAGAACCCTGTAGGCTGAAGCCTCTCCTGGAACTTCTGGCTAATCCAGGGCAGTGATAATACTGAGGAAGGACCACATGAAATGATGCATGGGCTGTAAGGAGTCACCTTATTAGAACAAAGGTATGTATATTTGAAATTTTTCATGAAAAGATTAAAAATACATTTGTCACTATGCCAAAAATTAACATTGTATTGAGAAGAATTATTAAATCACAAATAATGCAAGGTAGGGTAACCTGCAAGTAAAAATAAATAGGGATGGAAATACAAAGGGATATGAAATCAAAGAAGTAGCTCAAAATGGAGATGAACAAGGCTTGGTGGGGGTGAGACACTGCTGAGTCTATAGTACAGACAGAATTCCTAGTGATAGAAGAGAAGGAAACCACATCTTTGGAGAAAGAGATATGCCAAGGGCATGCTGAGGACAGGATGGAGACTCAAAGTCTTTTCTGAATAAAGAATTGATGGTGTCATGATTGACGTTTTTAAAGACTACTGTTACAAAGTCTGAAATATCCATTCAACCATTTCTTTCTTTCTTTCTTTTTTTATTTTTTTTTTTAAGATTTATTTATTCGTACAGAACTGGGGTACAGGCCAGAGTTGCGGAGGGTGAGAGGCTTCACCAGAGACAGAGCGGG